TGGATTAGTATTTTTCCCTGGTGCAAGAAGGGACTTTGAGAGCCCATCCCATATGAAGCGTTACACTCTGGCCCTGGTCACATGGGGAAGGGCCCAGGATCAGCATAGGGTCAAAAAAAAAAAAAAAAGACGGTGCTCTGGGGCTGGAGAGATGGCTCAGAGGTTAAGAGCACTGACTGCTCTTCCAAAGGTCCTGAGTTCAATTCCCAGCAACCACATGATGGTTAACAACCATCCATTATGAGATCTGGTGCCATCTTTTGGTGTGCAGAAATACATGGAAGTAGAATGTTGTATACATAATAAATAAATAAAATCTTAAAAAAAAAAAAGACAGTGCTCTGATTGGACAAGATGGCCTGAACCAAAGGACTTTTCCATCAAGCTTTCCAACGAAAGGCTGATCAAATGTACAGCCAGATATTAGTTCCAGGGTCAGCATTCCTTCCCTATTTTGGAAGATACTGTGAAATTTTACTATAACTTCTTTTTTAAAATTTATTTTACTCATATGAGTGCTTTGCCTACACAAATGTCTGTAACCATACGCATGTCTGGTGCCCGAGGAAACGGTGAGCCTCCATGTGAGTTCTGGGAATTGAACCTGGGTCCTTCACAACAAGTGCTTTACAACAAGAAGTGCTCTTAACCTCTGAGCCATCTCTCCAGCCCTTACGATCACTTCTTATAAATACATAAGCAAATGTTATACTACTGGCAGCTGTGTTCAATTCCCAGCATCCACATTGCATCTCACAACTGTCTATTATAACTCCAGGATCCAACACCCTCACATAGATATACATGTGGGCAAAACATCAATGCCTACAAAATAAAAATAAATAATTTTTTAGAGTTACACTACCATATTTTTAATCTGAAAGTGTTTGTAACTAAATTAGGGGTTTTTTGGTGATTTTGGTTTTTGGGGGTTTTGTTTGGTTTGGTTTTTTGAGACAGGGTTTCTCTGTATTGATTTAGAGGCTGTCCTGGAACTCGCTCTGGAGACCAACACCTGGCTCTAAATTGAGGTTTTTAATATTGTTTTATAAGTAACCATGTTTAAATTATATAATATAATAAAATGTTATAGACCTCCTCCATTTGTTGTAGTTTTATTCCATGTGTAGTTAGTTGACAATTACAATAATGAGTTAATCAGCCCTCCAAATGTGAATATTTGTAGATGTACAGTGACTTGGAAGGATTATTTTAGCAGAAATAACTAAGTTCGTGAATTTGGACACTGGTTTGCCTTCCTATGTACCTCATCTATTTAGTGTTATGGTACAGGTTTATCTAAATGGAATTTTCCCTTTTGGGGGCTATCAATGATTGGCCCCAGGGATTCACACACTTTCTATTATTGAGCTCTCTTAACAGCCCTCTTTACTTTTTATTTTGATACTGGGTCTCACTAAATTGGCCAAGCTGGCCTTGAATTCACTCTGTAGCTCACCCTTAGATTACTTCTGGTTTTTATCTCCATATGTTTTCTTCTAAGGAAGATCACTTGAAGATCTTGATAGTGGAGATTCATATTTTCATTGTTTAAAATTATGGTAGCACTGAGGAGCAAGCAACATGATGGAGATGATGAGCTGGGATCCCCAGACAATATTTCTCTTTTTCAATGGACTCTGAAACAGGAAACACAGAAAGATATGTCTGCAGGCTGTTTATAGTGAGAGGCTGGTTAGAGTTTTGCCATTTCTGTATAAGGAAAAGACAAAGTAACATCACCTAGGTAACCAAGGGGGCGTGGATATTAAGCAGATAATATTTCCTAGAGTGGGGACCCATATAGCTGAATCCTTTGCTACCTGGACCTTTATGTACCTCTAGTCATATCTATCACCAATTGTAATGAAAGAGTTGGAAATCTAATTTTTTATATGTCTATGTCCTGGCTGTTTTCAACTCATTTCATCTCCCTAGGCCGTTTGATGTAGGTAGCTTGGCCCAAGGTGGTAAAACAGAATCATAAATTGAAATTATGATCTGACTGTTTTTGTCAATATTCTACCAGAAGGGCCGGCATTGCAGTTGTTTGTGTTTGTTTGTTTGATTGATTGATTTGTTTTGCAAGACAGGGTTTCTCTGTGTAACTGCCTTGGCTGTCCTGGAATTAACTCTGTAGATCAGGCTGGGTCTCGAACTCACAGAGATAAGCCTGCCTCTGCCTCTGCCTCTGTTGGGATTAAAGACGTGGGCCACCAACGCCCGGCCAGCCTTGCAGTTTAAGGCATTTAGGTCATTTAACAAAACCTAGGCTGGCAGTTTTTTAAACCCTGCTCCTCAGAATTATATATGCTAAAACTCAGACTCCCTAGCCCAAACCTGAAGAAATCAATAGAGGTTGTAATTTTTGTACTTTTAAGAGCAGCTGCCGAGCCAGTGATTCTGTGGACAGCTTTTTGTGCATGGAACCTAAAACCCGAGGCCTCTCAACTGAACTGTCCGCCTTGTTCAAAACAAGCAGCACGCAGCTTTCACATCATCAACGAAATCTGTCTGCAGCGCCGCCCCGTAGTTCTCGGCCGCAGAGCAGCACTGAGCATGCGCTCTGTGCCGGGCCCTCAAGGCTGGCCTCCCTAAGACCCCGCCCCTCTACTCCTATTAAATCTTCTACTTCCGGCTTCTCCTGCCCACGGTCCGCAGACCAATCAAATGCAGGATTGTTGAGGCTCTGGACCAATGGCCAGGGCTTTCTTTCATCACTGCCCGCAGTTTAAAACTGTCAAGTGGCTGCTAGGATAGCAGGTGTGCTTGCGTGGTTGCGGCGGCGACGCTGGGGACGCCGCGAGTGAGGAGTCGGCTCTGGCGGAGACGGTGGGTACCGGCGGCGGCGGCAGCCCGGCCAGTTCCTCCCAGAGAAGACCGGGGACGTCATTCCTGGAGGTGCCCAGAAGAGAGGACGCAAGTGACGCCAACTGAGCTTCGCGGTTACCAGCCCAGTAGGTCCTGTTCTTAGGATGTGGGGAGCTAGTCAAACATGAGGTTGTGTTTTACTAAGAAATAGAATTAAATGGGGCTGGATTGGAGGGTCATGAACGAAAACTTGGAAGGGACTGTCTGCCTCCCCCCCCCCCCGCATGCAGTTAGGATGGGGGATGTCACCTTCCTGCCAGTGACAATGTTGGTTCGGCCTGTCTGCATTTGAATTCCTGGAGCCCGCTTTTCAGCTAAGTTGTGCCCGTGGCAAAGAGGAGCATTCAGACCATCTTGTGGTTTCCTCTTAGGTTAGAGAATATTGAGGATGTGATGGAACAATGTGTGTCCCCGCTAAAGCAAGTGTCATTCTTCTGCTTTCGTTTCTGAACCCAAAGACTGAGGAAATGCTACTGTTGTCCAGTCTCAAGTTAATTATCATGCCTGTGTGCAAAGAGCAGGGTAAATGGCAGATACAAAAGCACAATCATTTTGAGTCTGTAGTATATATTTAAGAAACAATTTTTGATATCTGACCATATCGCCTCATTTGTTACTAAAATAATCCACAACTCCCAACTCTGGTTGCCTACCAGGTCTGCAAACAAATCAAAGGAAAATGAAATGAAAATTAAAACGAACCAGAAAATTAAAACTAAAACTCAATGGTTGGTTTGAAATCAGTGAAGCATTCATTCCTTGATGCGATCCGTGCTTATTTTATCATCCCTAAATGATTTAATGGAAGACAGTCATGGCTGATATTTAGTTTATTATCCTTTGTAGACACAGTAATACTGAATAAAACAAATTCCCCTTCCACAGTCTGGCTGCAACCTATATCTGTCCCTTCCACTTCAATGTCTTTATCTCTTGTTTATTTTCTTAGCAAGCTATAATGAAGGCCCGTTCTGGTAGCAACTGTAACTCACAAATGGCACAGCAACTTCCTCATTGGCAAGTTGAGGGCCATCCTTACCCCTGTTTTGTCTGTGACTCTCACGCTGCTGCCCACACAATTCCAGTGTCCTGGCTTTCTCTCTAATCATTTGCATCTTAAAAGTTAGCAGTTGTAGATTTAACTCTCTCCTCGCCGTAATGATAGTCCTTAACTTTATTAGGATTGTGATCTCCTCTGAAATCATATGGGAAGCTGGAAATCTTTCTAGAAAATATGCATGTATTTATACTCTAAAAGTATGTGCAGCATGTGTGTGCAGGAGAATAATTCTTTACCACACCACAATGGTGGTCCCATTCATTTCCCTTTATTTAGTAAACCCCAATAAGCAGTGCTTCCTCAATCTAAATCTTCAGCCTGCACTTGTAATACAGGTCTCCCACCTTTAGGTTCAGTTTGGGAACCATTACTACACTCTAGCCATTATGAATTGCAGTACTGGGAGGTGTGTACTGAGTAGCCAGTGTACCACATAACAGCTATCCCTGTGTGACCACAGTCAGCAGATTGATTCCCAGACACCTCAGTCTGCAGGTGCTCAAGAGACCGGTGTGATATGACATAGTATCTGCATATAACCTGTTACACTTACCATCCTTCACACTTTAAACCACCCTGATACAGTATAAATGCTGAGTAAGCAGCTGTTGCACAGTATTGTTTAGGAGATGGTGATAAATAAGTCTGCATGTTCAGTGCAAATGCAATTTTAAGAAATATTTTTGACCCTCAGTTGACTGGACCCATGGATGTGGAACCCAGAGACACTGAAGGCTGACTGTACTGTATGTCCACACCACAGCTTTCTTTACCCAGTGCTTCCAAGGTGACCTCATGCCAATATACCTGGTACTGAACTCATCACCCATTCTCCAAAGTGTCATCTTCCATTCCTTGATTCGGTGAGTAGTAGTATGATCCATACTGGACACCTTCAGTCGTCTTCACTTTCTCCTTTTATGTGGTCGTTGATCATGACCCCTCGTTTCCATCACCACAGCACAGCTGTCTCAGAGCCACACCTCACTTCCCCTTGCCAGTGCTACATTCTAGTTTAGGGACCTCATCTGTCTCGTAGGTCAATGATGAAAAGAACCTTTACTGCTTGGATTATTACAGCTGGCTCTCAATTGGTTTCTATGTTTTTAGAGTCCTAATCCTCCCTAAAGTTGTCAGAGTAATATTTCTTTAAAAAAAAAAAAAAAAAAAAAAAAGGTATGTGTGGAGATGTAGCTCTGCAGTAGAGCTCTTGCCCTGGAATGATTCAGCCTTTTAATATGAAACATCATGATCTGAAATGTTCCTTTTTATTTCATCTTTACTCGCCTTGATTTGCTTCAGCCTAACCAAATGCCCTGGTTACTTTTAGCATGCACACCATGCCTCTGTATCTTGACGTATGCTCTGTTTTCATCTTTAGTCTGTCTTTCAGAATGGACCTGTTCATCTTTCAGATGTCAATACCAGGGCCATCTTGTCTACCTTACTGGTGTCCTGAGAGTTTGAATAGTTACTATTTGACTTTTAATTTCTTTTATATTTTTCTTTAGTTAAGACCTTTAATTTTCTGTGTGCATATCTTAGTATGTTGTAATGTATAAACTTAATTTTCTTAAAATAATATTCCCAAAATGTAAGTGTCTAAGGAAGGAAATTTACACAAACTGTTTGGCTGTCTTAGTTTAGTATCTACAGGAAAGTATGCCTTCCCTGGGATATCCCATAAGGCTGAAGAATGGTGACCACAGCTCTTCTCTCTAACAGACCCTGCAGGAAACTGTCCTGAGTATTTTTCTTTAACCTTTTATGCATTTAGCTCATCTCTTTCAGTGTATTATAAATGCACTAATGTTTGGAGTAAGGTTTGGGGGAGAGGAGAGCTGATGATTGTTGCCTGTAAGCACTCAACATGTTGAGTGGGTGATTTTTTAAATGACATGAAAAAATGTTTGCAAGTTAAAGCATTGCTCACTAGTGTGTATTTAAAAGCTTTGGCTTAAGCATTATGGGAAACAACCAAAGTTAACATGTGCTGTTTTATAGCTTCTGTACAAGATGTCATCTGATGAGGACAAATTCTCACTTCATGTTGCTCACAATGACTCTGATCATGACAGCTCTGTCTCCACAGACCTTCAGGTAGGAAGACATCTAAATTTATTACAGTTTTTTTTTAAAGCATAAAGCCCTGTGTAATGGTGTATGCCTTTAATCCCAGCACTGAGGAGGCAGAAGCAGGAGGATCTCTGAGTTTAAGGCAGCCTGGTCCACATAGAGAGTTCCATGACAGTCAGGGCTACAAAGAGATACCACCACCACCCCAAAAATAAAGTGTTAATTTGTGGTAAAACCAGACGTATATATTTATACTTACTGATTCCATTTACAATGAAATATTGTATTTATGACATTATCAAACTTAGAGAACTCTCTACTATTTTGGGGAGTATAGTGTAGGGAGACACTATAACCACGCTTCCTAGGGGCTGGCTACAGGTGTGCCTGACCACGCCCGTCAGGGTGACTTGGGAAAGGTTTAAAGGAATAGCCAAGGCACACGGTACTCTCTTGTCTCTGCTGCTTCGGCTCGCTCTGGTTTCGTGTTGGTTGGCATTTACTTATTAACGATATCCTGACTATTACGGGCTACATATTATTTATTCACCATACTAGTATAATGTTGTAAGTTTCAGAAAATAGCCATGAGCTGTTCAAAAGATTTTCTAAAAAGGCTTTCACACAGTGAAATGTTCCTATTTAACTGCCTCTGCTGAATGCCCTCATTCTTAATATAAAGTAACAGAACATCAGCCCATCTGAGGTTCTAGAGCCCAGAATTCTCCCATGTTCTGTGCAGTGAGGTTCTGGTTCCGTTTGCCACAACATTTGGCATAATCTGCCACCTTAATTGGACACTGACAGACAAGTTAGGAGCCTGACTAGGTAAGGTGTCATATTTACATGAGAGAGTCAAAACCCAAAGACAATGTTTTCTAACTGCCTTAGCCGGTGGGAGATAGGAGAAATAAATGACCATTTGCCCAGGTCAAACCCTGGGGCTTATTAATGACAGGAATAAAGGAGAAATGGGTATTCATTAGTAAGTCAACTTGGAATTCTGTATATTATTTTATTAGGGTCAACTCACATTTAGGTTTCTAGAAACCAACGAATGCCTTGTATCTTATCCACATTTATCAAGTTAGGGTTGTCTTTTATTTTAATAACTTAAAAACTTGGGATTTCCTTTTATTTTAACAACCAGGTATAACTGTAGTTCTTTTAATTTAAGAATATTTAAATCTTTTTAAAGAATTAGAATTACTTTTGTCATCAATAATTTAAAAAATTATAATTAATTTACTATAATTTAAAAGAATTGTAACTACTTTGGACATCATGATATGCCAAATGAATTTTTTTTTCCTGACACAGAGTTTCACTTTGTAGCTTCAAGTTATCCTGGAACTCTCACTGTTTAGCCCAGGCTAGCTTCAAACTCCTGGTCCTCTTATCGCCACTTCTTAGTGCTACAATTACAGGTGTTTTCATCTGCACCTGCTGCACCTTCTACTTAATCCTAGAAAACAGTTAAATCTTGGGTTTTATTGCTTTGAAGGGGTGTCACTAACAAAGCATTGGTTATAGACATGTGAAGAGGGCTCTGGTGTTAGCGTTTTCTGTCAGCTGACTTTCTTTTGTCACTCCATAGGTGTCTTCTTTTCTTCTTCCATAACATTAATGTACACTGCATAAAAAAATGTATTTCTTTCACCTAGTGCTCAATGCATATGTGTAATAAATAGAGTCCAAGTTGAAACTCAAACCATCTCACTCTTTCACATTGAAATTTTACAGTTTTCAGACAGAATAGTACAAACTCCTTTTATAGTTTTACCTAAAATTCCAATACTAAAAGAAAGCTATAATCATACTGATTTATTTTATGAACTCAAATCCATGGCATTTTCCTTTAACAACAGCAGCAAAAATAAGCAAGCTACCCCTGTGAGTATGGGCTTGAATCTAGGCAAAAAAATCCTATGTAGTTTCATAAGCTTGAGAATCCAGTTTGCTTCTTTTGAGTTACATAATATCAAGAGAATTCTGGTACCTTGTGTGGTGGTAAATGCCTGTAATGCAAGCACTCAGGCTTAGGCAGGAAAATTGCAGGCTTACTAGAGACCTGGGTTACATAGCAAGTTCTAGCCTGTGGAATGTAGGGAAATTCTGCCTCAAAATAAGAAAGGAAGAAAGGGTAAAAGGTAAGAACCGAAGAGAGAAAATATAAGCTGAGTCTCAATTTAAATACTTGAATTGAAAGTAATAGTGTTTTAAAGCATGTCTTATCTCATCTTCAGTTAAATTGATATGAAACATAACAAAGAAGAGAGAGAAAATATTATATTGAATCACTAATATCCATTACATCTTTAAACTTTTAATTGTATGTAAAAGTCATACCAGAAGTACTCAAAGGAATCAAGCTTAGCATAAGAGAGAAATTTTTCTGTATTGTGGTAAGAACATGACTATTACGTGGTTAAGTAGATTTCTTAACACAACAAAAAATTGAGTGGTTGGATGCAGCATTATAGCTGTCATAATACATCACTGTGATTGGCTTCTCATAGGAAGAGTATGAAGAGCTGCTCCGCTATGCTATTGTGAATCCAAATGTTGAGTCCAGTGCTTCACAGCCGTCTCATCCGAAGGGAGAAGTGGCACCAGACAGATTTCCTACACTAGCAGGTATGCTTTGCTAACCAGGTTAGGTACAGTTTTCAGGATACCACGTAAGATTCTGAGTTTGTCAGTGATGCTGATGGGACTGTGGAAATGTTCCTCACCATCAGTGGTTTCTTCCCAGTCCATGGTGTAAAGCAGTATCTATCACATGGGGCCTGCCTTATATTTACTGTGTTGTCCCTGGCACTTTTGACAGCTAGATTTTTATTTAAACTTCAGTTGACTTTTAACTTTATGAAAATTACTAAAGTCAAAGCAACCCAGTAGTGATTATCTCTTAGTGGATTATGTTATATTCCAGTTCTTGAACCAGAAGTTTTATGCCGAGATTACTTTGAAAACTAAATGCCCAAGCCCATCTTTAAAGATGATCTGGACACCTCCCTCAGGATCCCTTAAGTTACTCTATGAACCACATACTGGTACTCTGTCAGCAGTATTTATGTGGGCATGGAGGATAGTTTGGATTACAGCCCAAAGGTGGACCTTTGTGAACTGTCAGCAGTAGATCTGGTATCTGATACAAGCCAAGTTGTGCTTAATAGAAGGGTTAAACTGATACAAGCCAAGTTGTGCTTAATAGAAGGGTTAAAGGTAGAAACAAAAAGGAAGTTCTTTTTACCTCTTCACTCCTTATTTAGTAAAGTACAAGCTCAAACAGCTCATTCTGAATAAGCACTGTTTTTCATGTATATTTACTCATGTACGTGTGTATGTACATGCACATGCCAGCAAGGGTCTGTTCTTTCCTTCCACTGTGTTCTAGGGATTGAACTCAACATTTTCAGGCTTAGCAGAAAGCTCCTTACCCACTGAGCCTTCTTATGATCCCTGAATAAACATTCTTTGAGAGGGCTAAGACAGCAACATGGGCAGTCATTGTATAGTTGGCTTGCCTCCAAGGATAACTGTCCTTGAAGGTGCATTTCACAACCCACACAGAGGCATAGGGTTCCTGGGTTTCTGCTGAGTCACAGCCTTAATGTCTGGTACTCATTCCCTGTTTGTAGATCCCCACCCGCACAGCATGTTCCTATCTTTAGACTACTGCACTGGAACAATAGATAGGACCATATGACCATGACTTCAAATAAATAATTTACTGTGGCAGAATCTTTTTCTACCCAAATTTCAATTCCTTTACTTGGGTTTACTCATTATACATCATGCTGTCAGTCATATTTTGGTTACACTGAGAACCTTAACATATAGTTCCCACTGACCAAACTAAAGTACTGCAGATCGATTAATATAAACAGGCAAGGGCTGGGAAGAGAGCTAATAGGTCAGGTGCTTGCCATGTAAGCTTGAGGATTTGAGTTTGAAATTCCCAGAGCACATGTAAAGCCAATACAATAGTGTAAGTCTGTAATCATAGTGTTCCTACTAGCAAGGTGAAAAGGCAGAGACAGGAGAATTCCCAGAAGTTCACAGGCCGGATAGCTGGCATGCTCAGCAGTGAACAACAAAGAGGCCCTGTCTCAAACACGGTGGAAGGAGAGCATCTCCACAAACATGCCATGGCACGTGCATACTCATCACATAAGCACACAGACCGTGTGTGTGTGTGTGTGTGTGTGTGTGTGTGTGTGTGTGTGTGTGTGTGTGCGTGCACGCTTATAGAGATTATATATTAAATTGATACATAGAAAGTAATCACAATGTCCTCAAACAAAGAAGTACAGTTGGGCAATAATATTTGGCCTCTGTAACAATCAGGGAAATGCAAATCAAAGCCATATTGAGATTCCCATCTCACCCCACAGTAAAGCTGTCATCCAGAACACAAAAACAACAAATGCTGGTGAAAATACAGGTAAAAGGTAGACTCTTATACACTGCTGATTGGGAGTGTGGACTCATGCAGCCACTAAGAGAATCACTGTGGAAATTGTTCTTAAAACTAAATGGACACAAGTTATGAAAAATGATTTAAAGTTAGCTGCTTCTCTAGTTCTAAGTCTTCCATGGAACTTTTTTTTTTTTGATGGTAGATAAGTGCATAAAATATATCCAAAGTATAAAATTTAATGTGGAGTTTTACAGCTTCCATTCTGAATGCCAATTCTAAGTGTATTGTGTTGTATAGTCTTTGGACCCAGTTAATTTTCGTGTGTGATTTTATTTATTTGCAAGGTGTTTTTTTTTTAAATAAAAAAGTTTATAAAATTTAAAAAATAAACTAAAACTAGAACTACCATATGACCCAGCTATATGCCCCTGGATATACACTCAGGGAAATCCAAGCTATAAAATCAGAGAACAATGGAAGGTTTTTCAGCCATGAAAAAAAAAATCATAGTGTTTGCAGAAAAATTAATGGAACCTGAGAATCATCCAGTTAAACAAAACAAACCAGGCTTAGAAAGACAAATACTTCATGTTTTTTCACATGTGTGGAATATGGATTTTTTTTAATTTACATAAAAGACATAAAAGTAGAAGGAGTACTATTTAAAAGGGAGAGGACCAGAGGAGCAGGAAGAACAGCAGAGTAAGGAAGGGATGGGTATGTTATCTGCATGCCTGAGAATGTCACAATGAAGCCAATGTCTTGTACAGTGATACACATGTTTTCTTTTAAGTAGCTCAGTTTAATTTTAAGACCCCCTTTTTTATTTTATTTATTTATTCATTTATTTGGGCAGGAAATAACCCTATAAAAGAAAGTGCAATGGAAGCTGGAAAAGGTTGTGATATTTCTAGCCATTCAAAATCAGATGGGATGACATTTCTTTAGTTTGTTTCATTAATTACAGTGTACTAACAGGAATAATGTCAGCATATTACTTAGTAACTAGACTTTTAAAATGCTATTGTTGCTAGTTTACGTGATAATATTAAATCTTGGGTAATGTCATTGCAGGTGGTCTTTCAGTTATATGATTCTTAAGTTATATGATTCTATTTTGTAAATGGTGAACATATATTTTCCTCAACAATAAAAGCACAAAACCTATTGGACATGGTGATGGAATATGCTTATAATTCCACCACTTAAAACATTGAGACAAGAGATTAACCAGTTTAAGGCCAACTGGGCTACATAGGCCCTATTTCAGAAAACAAACAAAAGGAAGAAAGCAAATATATATTACATAGGAGATATATAACTTAGGAAATAATTTTCCTTCTTACATGAAGTTCTGGAAAGATTTGCTTTTAAGTAACAAGTTCTATAGTAATTCTGTCCTTGATTCATTCTGCAAGAAAGAGAGGAAAGCCCTTCATACAGTCCTGGTTACTAGAATCTTTATAGCTAGTGTGGGATACATGAGAAATGGTGATGGATGATGTCTAATTCTAGTAAATCTGTGACAGAATATTGACTTTTCTACTTTATGCTTTTTAGAGATAGAGGTTCTCTCCCACTCACTGGGTAATGGCAAGTGATGAGAGCTGTGTGTATATGTACATGTATGTAGATTGGCAAACATATTTCTTATCCATAGTATCTGATAAACTAACTAGGCCCTGTATATCATCATATCTTAGCAATGTTAAGGCCAGTTCCAGCACTGAATATAAAGTAACCACCTTCATGTGGTCAATTAACTTTCTGAGCCTCTGTTTTTTCCTTAACGTTGAGAAAATACCTACCTCTTAGGATGGCAGGTGTGAGCTAACTCTTACACATTTTTATCACAGGAACATACAAAGTATTTTGTTAATGTTAATGTCATGATGTGTCTTTCAGTTCAGACTGGACCAGATATGACACATGCTTGTTTGTCGGAGATGTTTGTGAAGGGTGGAAGAGGTATAGGGGACATCTCATGCCAGTAAAACCTCAATCAGTGACATTACTAATATCACAGTTACCCATACTGAAGTAAACCTCAAGGGTAATGTCTCTGTGTTTTGATCAGCCTCCAGAGTTCACAGACATCTTGTAGCCTTTTGATATTATTTTGCCAATTAGAGAATTTTCCATTTGACCTGGCTGCTACTTGATTGCTTTGCCTTTCTTCTAGGGTCATCACCAGTCTTGTCACCCAGGAAGCCCTCTCACCCAGTCATGGATTTTTTCAGTTCACATATTTTAGGTGACTCTTCCTCACCAGCCTCTGCTTCTACTCGTACAGATGTCCATGAAATATTGGTTGGTGATCATCTTGTTTCTGATGAAAATCTTCAGAAGGTGGAGAGTGTACTTGACATCTGGAGTTCAGGTCTTAAGGTATTGCCCTTGCTCTACTGCAGTATGTGTGTAGTCTGACACTTGAGCCTACTAGGATGACCCATCCGGGGTCTTAAATTTATACTTCTAAGTCTTTAGTGCACATATGAACTGCCTTGGCATCTTGTTAAACTGTGGGTTGGTACTCAGTATGTTTTAGGTAGGGCCTAAGATCACATGTTATATGCTCCTAGGTACTATTACTGGTTTCTAAACCATACTTTGAGTTGCAAGGTTTTAAGGAGTTGCTAGGATGCTATGTGTTCCACCACATTTCTTGTGTGTTTTAAAGGACTTCTTGATATGATGTTCAGCAATGACTGGCACTATTTCAGTCTCTTCAGACCCTAATTATGACAAATAGAGGCTTAGGAGGGCCATACACCTGGAGTCCCAGCTGTTTGGGAGGCTGAGATTGGAGGACCTTTTATATTTAAATGGTATATACTTTACCAATGTATATTAATTTTATAGAAGCCACAGTATATGTCTGAACAATCTATGAAAATATTTTTGTTTAGTGATGTTAATAGCCTGTCAATAAAACAGTATTACAGAAATGTCCTGATTTTCCCTTTTTAAAAAAATAGAGGGAGCTGGAGAGATAGTCTAGTAGTTAAGAGCAAAAGTACTGCTCTTGCAGAGGGTTGAAGTTCAATTTCCAGCACCCTTACAGTGGGTCACAAGCTACTAGAACTCTAGCTCCAGGACATCTGAAACCTCTGTTCTCATGGTTCATGTTCACATACAGAGACTTACACATGATTAAAAACAAATGTCTTTTTAAGTAATATGATTTAACTATTGTAAAAATGGAGAAAAAGAGCTTTTCTGAAGCATATAGTTAGGTAGTTACATACATAAAATGCTGATCACGTGAATTCTGTGACATCTATATCTTCCTGTTTTTGAACCTTAAACTCTAGAAATATTCTGGCAACAGTTTCTACTATCCTCCCTCGGAATGGTTTCATGGTATCAGAATAGAAGAAATCTATTGCATATTGTACAACCAGCCATTCAAACTATTCTTTGTTCAGATAACCAATATTGGAGGTTTTTGTTGTTTTTAGATGTCATTGATTACTTGGTGTTTTTACTCATAAAAGTCAATAAGGTGAATGGGCTTAGCTCTTTGTTGTAAGATGACTACCGTGGTAAATTGGTTTTTTTGCTTTGTTTTGTTTTTATTTTAAATAGAAAGAAAACCGTGGTAAATTGTTTGGGGGATAACTTCAGCACCATGATTTCAATACCACTACCACCACCACTAATCAGCCAGTCATTGTGCCTCAGCTTAGCCCATACTTCACCTGATCCATATTTTTGTTGTTGTCGTTTAAATTTTTTTGACATTTTCTTTTTTTTAATCATATGTGTAGGGATGTTTTACCTCTGTATGTAAGTGCATCCATGCTTGCAGTGTCCATGGGGTGACAGGAGAAGGTATCAGATCTCATAGGACTAGATTGCAGATGGCTAGCCAGCATATGAGTGCTAGGAAGAGCAGCCAGTGCTCATAACTGCTGAGTCAATCTCTTCAGCCCTACCTAATCTATTTTAGTATGAACATTTAAGTCTATAACTACACAAAAGAATTTAGTGAATGAAACCTGAATTTTTTTTAAAAGTCATAGATTTCATACAAAGTAGCATAAAATGGGAGAAAAGGTAATTCCCTTGATATGGTGAATGAAGTGTGAAGAGCCATAGCTGTTGAACTTGCAAACATCATTTATTAGTATGTTGTGATTTTTTTTTTAGTAGCTATTGTGTTGACCTGATCTTTTTTAATGTTTATTTTCAGTTTAACTTTAAGCGTGGTTTGAAAGAACAAATGACTTACGTTCAATATGTTTTCTTTTCAGACAAACATTATATCTGAATTAAGTAAGTGGAGACTTAATTTTATTGACTGGCACCGAATAGAGATGAAAAAGGAGAAGGAAAAACATGTGGCACTTGTAAATCAGCTGTCGAACCAGATCGCTGACTTGAAGGAGCTGCAAAAAGCCTTTGAGATCTCCCTCGGGAGAAAGGATGAGGTCCTCTTTTCTATGCCTCCCTTTAAATGAAACTCAGCAGACTGTCAGTGGACATACAGTTCTGAGAACTATGCTTGTCCTGCTCCCATAAGACAAAGAGAGAAGCTAATCGCACAGCCATGGGTTTATTCTTATTAGACACGAGTATCATGGGGTTCCATACTGACCTCTGGATTTGGTGTTTCCTGATGCTTTAAGAACCTGTTCAGTGTAGATGTAGACATACTAAGCTTTTCTACCTTATCGGTTTTTTGTAACTGTCATTAACATCAAGGAGCCAGCATTACCTACATTCTTCATCCTTGCAGATGATAGTATAATAAGCATCTCAGATTCTGTCAGTGAAATGTATTTGTTCATTGATGGAGATAAACACAGAAAATACTCTCTTGGCTTCTTAAAAACCTGAGGGTAGAGTTCAAACTGGTCAGAGTTTTTTTTGCCTCCTGATCCCTTCTTAAGCAATAGTAGGCAGTGAGTCTGTGTCCTGCTGACTCACATCTGTTTATGGATGAGAATGTGCTAGCTGTCACCCAGGAACTTGGGGCAGACGCCTCAGCAGCTTGCCCCAGTCAGATAAAAGTGGCAGGTTTATTATTGCTTGACTTTTTGAGACAGCGTCTCACTGTGTCGCCTGGGCTGGCCTTGAACTCAGTGTGTGGGCCAGGCTGCCCTCTCAACTGGAAGTCCTTCTGACTGTCTCCCAACTTGGGGGATTATAAACAATGCACACAGTAGGCAAGATGATGTTTTTCAGATGTACATTGTTACTGGTGTTTACTGGTATAGTATAAAATCACACATTCTGTGTAGTTGGCTTTGTTTGAAACATTGTCAGTCATTTTCTCTGTTATCTTCAAAGTTTCTAATTTTTCTGACGTTGAAGTATCATACAAAATGAGTATGCTTATGTTCTGTTTATGAAAATGGATAAAATGGACAGCCATACATTCAGTTTAAGACATAGAATGTAACGGACACTTTGACTGACTGCCCTTCCTTATTTAGAAAGGGAAAGCAAGTCTGGGCATGGTATGCATGTGATCTCTTTATTTAAGAGGTAGAGGCAATGAGGATCACAGGTTCAAGGCCAGCTGGGAACCAGCAAGACTCTTGTCTGAATGGGGAAAACATAAAGTAGGACTCAGGATCTTGTAATAAGTGTGGTTTACGGGGTCCTTTTAATGTGTCTCATTTCAGATACACCTCAGTAATGTAGTTCACTGAAAAAGAGTTTATCCCAGAGGTTAAATGCCTGCAATTCCAGCACTCAGAACTCTGAGGCAGGAGGAGGAACACAAGTCTGAGTCAAGACTAAGCTTATAGTGAGACAGTGTCAAAAACAGAAAGGAAGATAAGCTAATTGATGAACAGAGTGGATACCCATAACTGTTCTCTATAGCATTTTTACATGAGAACATCACTTTATGAAAATGAATAAACTGAGCTGCCAGGCACCACCTATCTTAAGACACAATAAAACACATAACGATGTATGTCCTTTGCACAAGTCAGTTGCTGCTATCATCAGTAACTGGGTTACTACTGTTTGCAGGTGATTTCCAGCTTGTCTCAAGCCATCAGCAAGCAAAAGGAAAGGATAGAGTTAATGAAAGCTTTCTTGCACTGGCGAATTGGCCATGTCAAATCAAGACAAGATGTAAGTATAAAAAAGATGACCACTGTCAGTTATTAGACTTCTAATCAGAGAGACTTAAGGGTGAACTACTAAAATTCTTGCTAAAGTCAAGATTTGTAATCTAATGAGTAATAAATTAGGTTCGTAATGTTGCTCTGATTTCAAAGTCATTTGATTTTGATGCATTTAGAACAATACATCTCAGATTGTATTGACGTAGGGCATACATATTATGACAGATGAGCCATTTGCTGCTTCATTGTAGTTTAATAAGGATTGTACCTAACATTAATACCTTGGTAATGCAACTCTTTAAGAGACCTAACCTTGAAAGTGGTTATTTGGAAAGAGAATTTATAGCCTTAAACAGGTCATCTGCTTCCTCTATTGTTTCTGCTTCTGATACACCTAACAACTTGTAACAGCATGTATGTGTAGTTCCCCCTACTCACCAGGCAGACGCAGAGGAAGCACTTGATCCCAATATGTAAGCCCAGCCTGGACAATATAACAAGACACTGGCTCTAAAAGAAATGCTGATAATAATAAATACCTAAGTACAACCTCTTCATAGACAGACATTACTCTATTTGTACATAAAACATGAGAATTAAAAAAGGTCATATTAGATAGGTTTTTACAAGTTTATAGCTGAGTATCATTATTTTCATTAAGTAAATACTGAAACAAAACATGAGAATTAAAAAAGGTCATATTAGATAGGTTTTTACAAGTTTATAGCTGAGTATCATTATTTTCATTAAGTAAATACTGAAACAGTATATCAAAAATAGTGATATTTGTTCTTTATTAAAATAATAAAGAACAGTACATTACTAAGGCCAGACATATTTATATGTACTGTGATCTCAGCAATTGAGAGGCTGAGGCAGAAGGATTGTGAATTGTCAGCTTAACATGCAGAGCAAGACTGTCTTTGAAAGGACAAAACACTGTTAAAAGTTGTTAAGTGGGACTGGAGAGAAGGCTAAGCAGTGGAGTGCATGTTGTTCATGCAAAGGGCCTCGGTTGCCAGCACCCACATCAGGTGGGTCATAACCAGCTGTAACTCCAGGGGATCCACCACCTCTGGCTTCGATGGGTACCTGCACTCATGCACATGGACACACATATACACAAAATTTAAAATAAAATACTTTGTTTAAAACATAGAAAAATATGAGTGCAATATATATATATATATATATATATATATATATATATATATGCACAAAAAAAGATCCAATGTAAGAAATAGTTTTCGATGAGCATGTCTTGTCCTGTAGAATTTTTTTTTTATTCACAGTTCAGCACTGAGGCACTAGATGGAGGATGGAGGATCCCTGGAACTCAGTGGCTGCCCTAGCTGTATGGGTCTCTAAAAATAAGGTGGAGAAATACAGAAAGATAACCTACATGGACCTCTGATCTACACACACATACACATGTGTGCATGCCCATGTGAGCATGCGCACTCCAAAAGTAGGTGATGGACAGATGGATGGATGGATGGGTGGGTGGGTGGGTGGGTGGGTGGATAATGGATAGAACTCTAAAATGAATGTGTCATAATTAAAAATCTATCAAATAGATAGATTTTTAATCTATCAAATATATAGACATATAATGAGAATATGTATTTTAAAATGTGTTTATAATTGTCAAGTTGCCATTACTTTTGAATAGTATTTTAATTTTAAGAAAATTAAGAAGCGCAACTACTTGAAAAACATTCACTGATAAAAGGAAAATAGTTTCTTTGTTCAGCTTGGTGTTGTGGAGGGTGACAATGTGAATTAAGTAACTATTTCCACCAAACAAAAAGGAAAAGTAGCACCGCCTGAACCATAGCCACCACCCTTTTACTTCCCAGCCATTCTGTTACACTTCAGTTCCTGCTTTCACCTAAAGGTCCTACAGATTCTCAACTAAGGTGACAAGTTTCTTGTTTTTTCTTTGACTTCATAAGCCATGTTGAGCTGTGGTATCATGGTTAAGAGCACAGGTTCTAGAACCAGGTGAGCCTGACTACTACTTCCTGCCTGTGTGGCCAAGCTGGTTACTGAATCTCTCTAAGCCAGTTTCCCATGTGCAACAGCGTGATTATATAGGATTAGTGATAACCACTGTGTACTTCCCACTGTGCCATTTTTTGTTACACTGCCCATATAGTTACCAGTTCTCTGTGGTTCTGAGGTTGGATGTTGCTTTTGTTCAGGTCTATGAAGGTAAACTGGCAGACCAGTACTTCCAGAGAACTTTGCTGAAGAAAGTCTGGAAGGGCTGGCGTTCCGTGGTACAGAGGCAGTGGAAAGAAGTGGTAGAACGGGCATGCCAAGCGAGGGCTGAAGAAGTCTGTGTGCATATCTCCAATGATTATGAAGCCAAACTTGCTGTGGTAAGCTACTTTTTAAGCAAGAACACAGCCCACAGAATCAAGTAAGCAGGGCTTATGGGGCTCACAGAAACTGAAGTGACAATCACCGAGCCTGTGAGGGTCTGAGCTAGGTCCTCTGCATTACCTTATGGTTGTATAGCTTGGTGTTCTTCTGGGACTCGTAACAGTGAGAATAGGGAGTGTCTCTGACTCTTTTCCCTGCTCTTGAGACCTTCTTCTTCCTAAGGGATTGCCTCATCCAGCCTTGCTATGTGCGTTAGTGCCTAGTCTTGTAACTTGTACTATGTTTGGTTGATATCCCTGGGAGACCTGCTCGTTTATGAAGGGGAGTGGAGGAGGAATGGATCTGGAGTAGAGGAGGAGTGGTGGGGAACTGAGAGGAGTGGAGGGAAGGGAAACTGATCAGTGTGTAGTATATGAGAAAAGAACAAATAAAAAAAATAAGATTTCTACTTTTGTATAGCAGAATTATATAGACTCACTATAAGTTAGGCTATGATTTTTAGTGTCCAAGAACAAAACTTTAAAGATGTTTATCTTTCTTAATTTAAATAAACTAGCTCCTATATAAATTCAATATAAAGCAAATGAATTATTTTTCCTCTGACTTTCAATAATAGAATTCACATTGTTTCCATAGGAAATCATTTGGATCATGAAAAGGGAAGAGACATACACATGCATCCACCCACACACGTGTACAAACACATACAAAAATAAATAAATTTTATAATATATATAACCTCTGCATTTCATAATAGCATATAGAAAAGATGTAATCTTTTTAGGTTTGGTCTATGAGAAAGTGGGTTTTGCCAAAATTCACTGTGTACTTTAGATTCTGTAAATAAAACATTTGCTTTTGAGAAATTCTGTTAATATTACAAGAATTGTAGTTAGTTTTTTCCTCTCAAAGGAATATGGGTCATGTGTGGCTTATATGAATGTATTTTATTTGATATCTTGCATAAAAGTTGTATAGTTTAAAAAGAAACAAAAAAGCTACATTTTTGTTGGGCATGGTAGCATATATCTGTAATCTGAGCACTTGGGAGGTAGAGAGATAGAAGGATGATTTCAAGGTCATCCTTGACTACATAGCAAGTTAGAGACCAACCTTGGCTACATAGGACCCTGTCTCCAAACATTAAATAGATAAATAGCAAAGAATAACATTAGTCTTCCGTCTTTGTGTAATTCTTTAGTTATCTGGAGCTTTGGAAAATGCAAAAGCTGAGATTCAAAGAATGCAACAGGAAAAAGAGCACTTCGAAGACTCCATGAAGAAAGCGTTCATGAGGGGGGTGTGCGCATTAAACCTGGAAGCCATGACCATATTTCAGAACAAAAATGATGCCGGTGAGTAGTTTATGGAGTATTCTCTGCTTAGTTTCAGAAGGAACTTGAGGGGAATAAACGACTGTTTCTATCCTTCAGTGAGTGTGCCTTGTCTCTGTATTACTCGTTTGTACTTTCATAGGCTTGTGTCCAACTTGAAATCCACCATAATAGTTAGCTTATTCATTGTACCTGGTGCTTTAGAGCTGCTGAATAGAATTCCCAATTCTTACTTAAGCTCACTGTCAAAATGATTCCTTCCTTCCTTCCTTCCTTCCTTCCTTCCTTTTATTTATTTATTAATTTATTTATTTGAGACAGCATCTAGCTATATAACCCAAGTTGGCCTCAAATTCATGTCCTGCTTCAGCCTCCTGAGAACTGAAATTTTAGACATGCATCACCATGTACAGTCAAAATAATGCTTAATTTTAACATTTAACATTTTGAGGTCAGCCAAGGTGGTTATAGTGCACGACTTTAGTCCCAGCACCTGGGAGACAGAGGCAGGTGAATCTCTGAGTTTGAGACCAGCCTGGTCTACAAGAGCTCGTTCCAGGACAGCCTTTAAAGCGGCAGAGAAACCCTGTCTCAAACCAAAACAAAAAACAAAAACAAAAACATTTTGAAGTTATCTTAACTAATAATTTTAATGCCTCTAAACATGAAATTTCTGTTTTCATCTTTGCATACATTTCATAGACAAGTTTGTTGATTAAATATTCCTAACCTAGTCATAGTTTTCTAAAACTTATTTTATCAGTAAAATATTTTTTTAAGTCTATGTAATACCTGGAGTCTCTTTGTAATAGTTTTGTCTGCATGGATTAGAACACATGACCACAACCATTTGCTACCAGGTTCTGGTGGGGCCAGTTCCCTCATTGAGCTTTAGACCCCTTATCCAAGCAAAGCCCATGCCATACCTGCTTCAGGGGATTCTTACAGAAAGGCAGTAAAGGAGCAGAAGGCACTGTAAGACAAGAGTGGTCATGTAAGACCCTGTTGTCATTTTAAGTCGGCCTCCCAAGCTCTTCTTTAGTATTCCTAATATTACATCCTTACATCCAACTGGGGCACTTTGCTAACTTCATGTTACACTATGATTTGATTGCACTTTTGTGAAAAATGTGTTTGTGTTTGGCTTGCCTTCATCTTAAAAGTGTCACCAAACATTTATTATTTAAGGCACAAATGGTACTGGGTGGTAGTGTTTGGGTACATCTTTCTATTAGAATTAACCATGACTTGTTTCCATAGACAGGTTAGACCGTAGCAACTTAGAATGATGAAATTTCAAGGATGACTAGTGTATCTTACTAATGCCCAAATAGTTTGGTTACCACACTAACCAGTTACTTTTTATTTGTTGCTTTTTCATAGTATTTATGTATTTGTTTATCTGTTTGGGGAAATGAGGGCATACACAGGCCATGGCACACATGTGGAGGTCCGGGGACAGTCTGAAGGAGTCAAGTATCCTCCCACCAACCTGCAATTGTACTCAGGCCATCATGTTTAGTGACAAGCCCCTTTGCTGGAGGAGCCATCTCACCCACTCCCATAAATCTGATGGGTGCTTTTGTGACACAGGCAGAGCACAACAATAAGACTTAAATGCTATTTGGGAGTTAGCTTATTTATGAGAGTTTGATTTCATTAAAATGATTTCAGGCCAGGTATTGGTGGTGCACACTTTTAATCCCAGCACTCGGGAGGCAGAGGCAGGCGGATCCCTGTGAGTTTGAGGCCAGCCTGGTCTCCAGAGCGAATGCCAGGATAGACTCCAAAAGCTACACAGAAAAACCCTGTCTCAAAAAAAAAATTTCAGTCCCATGAAAACTTATCTAGTTTTCGTGCCTTCATTCTAAAACATCCTTAAAATGATGGATGTAGACTTTTCAAGCAGTTTTAGACACAGTTTTAGTGAGAAAGATGTCTCCCCGTGAAAGAGATAATCTGTAAATAAAACTTCATAAATGGCCTTTCATCAGTAAGAGCTGGTCACCTCTGACCTTTTCTCTGGTTTTAAGTCATGGACATCTGCCATGCAAAGTTACTTTCTGCCAAAGACATGTTAAATCTCTGTGAGAGGGTGCAAGGGAGAGGATGCATGCATGCATGTGTACAGTTTTCAATTTATAAGTGGTATTTTATGTGGAATAGTTGCTTTCACCAGTATTGGAAGGATCTTTGAACTGTAACCATTGTTAAACTTTAACAAGGTCACTATTACTGTGTATAATGCGCATATCACTGAAAGTCAGGCCTTTGGATGGAAAGAAGACATGCTCTGTAATACAATGTCTCCTTCAGTGTCTACAACATCTCGATACCTTTTCAAATCCAGAGATAGATAGTTCAGGTGAAAACTAGCCAAATTCTAATTTTGAGGGGGAAAAAAACAGAAATTGGGTTAAGGCCCCTGTCCTACCTTCTGAAAGTTGACTACATTCACTCCTAGATCCAGGGACAGGTCCCTTTGTGAGGCAGCCAGAGTCCCCACAGCTGGGTCAGCAGGCAGGTGCTTTTACTCATAATCTGTGTCTCATTTATTTCTGACTTGCTAAAATAATCAAGAGTGAAAGCACCTTGTTTTTGTCAGAATAGAAGTAGTAATTGAAATGAGAAGGATGTTGAAATGGGAAATAGTTGCAAAGCTCTAAAGCAGGCCATTTGTCAGGATGGCTGTGTGAAATGGGAACGGCTGTAGACCTTCCCATCCTGTGTGCCCACATATGTTACCACAGTGAGCACATAGTTGATTCTTATTTTTTATATAAGAGCAGATTATTTGTTAGTTTTCAGGTATTGAAGCTTCCACCTTATCTGAAGTTGACATTAGCCAGTTAATGCTGACACTGTATTAAGTGACCAGTAAACCCCCAAGATGACAAATATCTGCATTTTCATTAGAGCTCTATTTTAGCCATTAGTCTTTTCCTTTTTTTGGAGGGCTATAATCTTAATTTGCACTAATGTTAATAAAATGGATTTGTGATTTGTAGGGATAGACTTCACTAATAATAAAAAGGAGGACGGTGGCCCTGGTGGTCTGGGACGAGAGCTTTCTGCTCATTTGGATACTTCTTCATCTACAATGCCATCAGCAACAACAGCAACAGGAATAGCCAGCGCCACTGCCATTCCCTCCACCGCTTCCATGACCTCTGCTGGAGCCACATCCGCCTCTTCAGTTCATGTTCCTGTCTCTGTTTTTGGTGCAGGATATATCGCTGCTACTGCTCCAGAAGAAATGGTTAGTACCATTTGTGCAAGCGCTGCACTGGGAAAGGCTTCAAAAGCATGTATGTCTTGTTATGGTGTTTGTGGGGATCTAACTTTATAGTCCTTCATTTGTTTGTATTTGTATATGTAGTGCTAAGGAGCTAACCAGTCAAGCTCTCATCCCCCAGAGCTGTAAATAGGATATGGAAAACATAGAGGAAAAGGTCAGTGTCATACTTGACCATCTCACAGAAAGTATGCAAGACACAAAGTGGCTAAAACATTAATTTGTAGTGAAGGTAATCCAAATGTACTATTGTAGAAAAATAAGTTTTGTTTGAGAAAGCGTTAATAACAGACGTTCCTTGAAGCAGACTAGTGGATATTTTCAAGGGCTCAGAGGTATTTTCTATCCCTTTTTCCTAAGTGACCTATGACACACAAGTGATTGCATCTCTGTTATTCATTTGTAACTCTGTTGAGATGAGGAGAGGGACAGTCTTTCCTCCAGTTATTAGAGATGGGGGCTGAGCAGGACAGAGAGTTTGTGTGAAAAGTGTGTATTTGAGGTAATTAATGAAGCTGTTGACAGAGCCCTTCATGGCTGTGGCTCGATAGGAAACAGTGTACCTACAGACAACCACAGACTTGTTAGACTCGACTCTGCAACCTCCTCCCTGTCCAGTGTTGCTTTTACACAAAGGCTTCCGAGGCCACTTCTTCCCTTCGCTCCTTGAGTCTAGCCACTGATAGAACAGAAAGGAGTTTAAGTCTTTTTTCTCTCTTACTGTTTCTCATGTTGGAGATGGGAGAGAGAGATACACAGGCAGACGGACGGACGGACAGACAGACAGACAGACAGACAGACAGACAGACAGACTCTTTCACCTCAGGTTGGCCTCCCTAATGTTAATATTACAGATGTGAACAGCCACACTCAGCTCTGTTGTGTTAAATTCTTCCTGGTGAGCCATGACCAGACACCATTGCCCCTGAGAGCTCTATGTAAATGAGGATAGATTTGGCCAGAAACTGGTCTATTTTGTCTTTTAGCTCACTTGAATTTCTTCCTTTTAGAGCTACTAATTTTGGAAAAAAATATGGTGAGATCTGCTGTTTGCCATGTTTGCTCTTGCCTGAAGTTAAAGTACATAGCACATGTGTATATAGTAAGAGAAATATGAATGTGTGGAGGAGTTTTGACTTAGAAATAAGACTAAAATTCAACCTTGACATATGTTCAGCTGTGTTTATTTTCCGTGATTATGCATCCTGGAGTACAATCCTATGTAGATGATCTCATTTAAATAAACACAGTAGGAGTTTATTTAAATTTCTAATTTGCCATTCGTGTTGCATATGCAGATAACACAGCTAGATTTTTCAAAATCTCCTCCTTAAAATGGGGCTATATCAGAGTCTGCATTTAGACCTGACCTTGCATGCAAGTGTATGTGTGAGTGAGTCTGCTCACTGCTCTCATGTTGCTCACTTCCTCAGATCATTCTGAAGTCTTTGAAACATGAAAAGCACAATAACTGTGTAGACAACCCTTCTCGTTTCTCTCTCTCTCTCTCTCTCTCTCTCTCTCTCTCTCTCTCTCTCCTCTCTTTCTGTCTTTCTCTCTCTTTCTGTCTCTCTCTCTCTCACACACACACATAACACCAGTTGCTACAGTGTTTGTGGGGATCTGGCTTTGTATTCATTCATATTTGTATATGTAGTACTAAGGATCAAATCCAGTCAAGCTCTCATCCCCCAGTGCTGTAAATATGATATGGAGAACATAGAGAAAAAAGTCAACATAAATGTGATCAAAGCTCATAAGAACTCACAGCACAGACACAGCCTACACTGGTCTGTGCTAGTGATCATTTGCATATATATTATAGTTTCCAGTTTAGTGTTCTATGGAACTCCTGAATGTGTGAACAAGTAGATCTCTAATTCTTGTGCCTTTTCTTGGGCTCTTTTCCTTCTGTTTGTTTTGTGCAATTCTGATGTGTCTTTTTTTTTTAAATCTTACTATATTTTATTACTATCTCTTAGAAACCTGTTTGTTTTCTAATGAGAGATAGAAAGGGAATAGATCCAGATGAGAGGGGAGTTAGGGAGGGACTGGGAGAAGTAAAGGGAGGGGAAATCATAATGAGGATATATTATGTGAGGAAAAAAACCTTTTCAATAAAAGGGAGCAAAGAATAAGATGTATTAAAAAAGAAAAAGTCAACATGCTAGTTGGGTCAACCCACATAAAGTACTCAGGACAGAAAGTGGCTAAAACATTAGTCTGTAGTGTAAAGTAATCCAAAAGTACTGTCCTAGCAGTGACAGTTACAGCATACTTGAACATTCAGTGCCTAGAGCGGAGCGTCGTCCAGGCCATGAGTCAGGAGGCACACAGGTCTGTAAGCACAGTGTAAAGACTTCTTTGTGTAATTCAGAAACTCAGGTTTGCCCTAGATTCGTCTTCTTGTTTTAAAAAGAAACATAAGGCCAGCCTGTCTCAACTGCACTCTGTCGTCCTACCACACATCCCTACAAAAGAACTTTAGGCAGTTATCCCAGCAAACTATGTTTCAATCACAGAGCTGGACAGTAGATGGCACTATGGTCCTAGCTGGATTTCCAAACTATTTACTGAAGTTTTTCATCTAACTTCTCCATCCATCAGAATGGAAATGAGAAGGATTGTGAGGTAGTTGGTACTGTTTTCCCATTTTACAAATGAGAAAATTGAGGTTTATAGAGGGTGACCCTTTGTGGATGTAAGTAGCACTCAAAAGATCCAGTTTTCAACCTTTCTAGTATAAGCCTTACTAAGCATGTTTTCTATTTCCCAATGTCAGTTTCTTTAAAGTATGTTGTGAACTAGTAAAATGTTCAACACTACCTGCTAATAGTTTTGTTTTCTCCCTGCCACCTAATTTAACAAAAATCTTTTCTAATAATTATTTGTATAAATTCTTTCTAAAACATCCTTATGCATTTTAAAACAGCTCTTTTTTTCACCAGTTTAAACTATTTGGCTTACATAAATATTATTTTGTAGATTTGTATGGTGTGAGGAAATGCCCATATTGGCCAAAAGAGGGTATCTGAGCCCCGGGAATTGCAGTTATAGGTGGTTGTAAGCCAGCCAATATGGTGCTGAGAACAAAACCCAGGCCCTGGAAGAGCAGGAAGTGCTGGTAACAACCTAGCCATCTCCCCAGCCTCTACTTCCTGTGTATACAATACAGTTAGCAAGTGACAAACCACTGGAAATAAACAACTCTACAAATGTGCAGGTGACTTCATTTAAACTAGTTAACTGTAGATGAAATTTTTACATGTCCTCTCTTCATTAATGGGGCAGTCTAAAGCAGCTCTTGGCTGGGGTGGAGCAGCTGATCATCTGTATTTCCTGGCTACTCTGGTGTTTCATTCCAAACTTTCCTGGGTTGTCATGCATTCTGTCCTTCTCCAAGTAAGATGAGTGGCTGTGGAGAGCATGTGTATTAGCTTCGGGTGTTGGAAGCTCAATTCTATCTCAGTCTTCAGGAGTGGGCAAGGATTTGCTTGGGGTGGGGGTCCCATTGTTAAGGATCACACCCAGAGCTCAACACATAACAAGTGTTCTAGCCCTGAGCTGATTCTCAGTTCTAGAGGATTTTCTTGTCAACTATTAATTTTATCTTCTAAAATACCATTTATGAATCTTCATTAGTAGATTAGTAGTTGGGGCCCAACTTACTGATAGAATAAATTCCCGGCATCTATGGATCATAGGTTCAGTCCCTAGTTGCCACTCTCTCCCCAAAACAATCTCATTCATTCACAAAATATCTTGTACCTTATGTTTGCTGATGCATATATTATATATATGTAATATACAATTTCTTGAAGATAGAAACATTAATTTAGTCTGCAAAAACATTTGTGGACATATTTTCTTAACTTGGTTTTATTGTTTTTAAGTGTGAGTTGGGGGTGGGTACCCACAGAGACTATAAGTGTCAGATCCCCTGGAGCTGGATTACAGGTGGTTGTGTGCCACCTCATTGGGTTGTTGGGATTTAAACTCAGTCCCTCTGAAGAGAAATCCATGCGCTTAACTGATGAGCCATGTTTGCAGCCCTGGGAACGTCTTAAAATCTGAGATTTGTTTGCACAAATACATAAGATCCATAAAGTTCATTAATTAAAAAAGCAGTCCTTACATTTTCAACAACAGTCTTCCAAATCCCTTTCCCCAAGCTGTTAGCTGTTTCTTTCTGTTGGCTTTTCTGAACAGTATGTTCCTCTCATTATCATATGTTTGTTAATCCCAATCATTATCTGTTGACTTCCTCCTGTGGATGAAGGGTTTGGTCTGTGACACCATCTTAGCCTTCTGCCATCCCCCTTCCTGTGTATTAATGTTTAGACATGTGGTTCCAGATTTAAATTAAATCAATACTTGAGATTCCTGTGTAAATATAGCTAAGCCTTGAATGTATATAATGACATTTCCTTCCAGCATAGTTTTTGTTCCTAGAATTAATTGCTTCATTTTTGCCTTTGCTTGGGTTTTTCTGGAACTGTAACAAATTCTTTCCAGATTCTTTAAGGAATTGCACAACCCTATTAAACATTGTTTTCCTCTGGGTTGTTTTAATTTCCCCAGAGCTGAGTCTCCTTGATTATCCTCTCCATGATTCGGTAGACAGTTCTGATCAACTGCAGCTGAATGCAGATAAAGAGAGAAGCTTGGAAGGGCCAAACCATGGGGAAAGGACCAGTATTGATCCAATGCTTTCAGAAGAACAATTGAGGAAAAAGCATGCAGTTAGATTGATACTTCACATGGCATGTTCAGTTACATCAAAATGGGTACATGTTAGAAGAGCATATTTACTGCAGCTGTCCAAAACAGGCTGTTTTCTCCTTAAGTTTGAAGAGTTGTCATTGAAGGAAACATGGGCCTGGGGAGATGGCTCAGCTGGAAAAGTACTTAAGGACCTAATTCTGAATCCCAGCACTCATTTTCAAAAAAGCTGGGCATGGTGGTACATGACTATAGCCCCAGCTTTGGAGGCGGAGGGGCACTGTGAGTAGTCAGGGGAGACAGATAGGTGGGTCATGGGAGCTCGATGGCCAGCCAGCAAGCCTAACAAAACAGTGAGCTTCTGTTCAGTGAGGCCCTCTCTTAAGGCAGTAGATCTGACAGCAACAGAGACACACCCAGCCTCTCTCTGGCTTCTGCATGTGCAAACATACACATCCATAGATCAAGCACCCAAGAAAGGAAATACATAAAGAAAATGTTTCTATTGTTAGAGAAGTATCTGCAGTCCTTAAATGAAGTTACTATCTACCAGGAACTATTAAAATTTTTGGTTCTGGAGCTAGGAATCAAACCCATAGGTCCATTCATGACATGCCAAAACCACTCAGTAATACTACCAGACCTGCTGATACTTGTGTGTGTAAGAGAGAGAAAAAAGAGAGGGGGTGGGGGAGGGAGAAAGAAAGAGAGAGGGAAGAAGGGAGAGAGAGAGAATCTTACTGTATAGCTCAGGCTGGCCTCAAACTTGTGGTCCTCCTGCCTTAGCCCCCCAGGTGCTAGACTCACACATTCATACCACCCTGCCCATATTTTTGGAGCTATTATATTGTTTTAATAGCAACTATCCTTTCTATTTTCTGACCAAAGGTTAAAGAGCTGACCAGTTATAGTGTAAATATGAAACATTAATGAAGCATTATAAGTCAAAGAGTTAGTGCTCAACTTACACTGAGTTGAGTGTTTATGTAATTAACTGACAGTGAAAAAAAGAAATTATACATCATTCTTGATATACATATAATCTTTCTTCAATATCATCTGGTAGTAACCAATAAAAGCTTTAAATGTTGAAGTTGCTTTTTGATATGATTATCTCATTTTGCATTATTTTTACAAAAATAACTTTTTAAAATGTTTTTACAAAAAATTGTTTACTAAATGTAATAGGAAGAGAATAAAGAAAAAGAAACCAGTCTGTCATATGAAATTGTTCTTTACAAATTATTTTAGGTTTCTGTATTCATGAAAAACATTATAAAAGTTTTTTAAAGCAGGACAAAAACATATATAAGCATATATGTAATGATGATAATTTTACATGAGGATTGAAGTCAGTTATGTTTGATGGAGTAATCACATTATGGCTGGGCAGCGGTGGTAAGGAATCTGCACTTAATAAAATGGCACCAGTGTGTACACAGGCTCCCGCAGCACCGGTGAGCTGGTGTTGATGTGGTTTACCTAAGAGAACACACAAGAAGACTTCCTGGGAGTCTGTCATTTCAAAATAAGGGTTTTACATCTCAAGCATTTTTAAATAGTCAACATGCCAAGGTTAGAGGAATATTTTGGAGTTTGGGAATATTGGGGTTTTGTTTTGCCTTTTTGTCTCATTAGGTTTTAAGTACTGTGTGTTTTCTTTGAAAATTACACAAGCAAGTAATATAATTGTGCAGTGGCTCTTCCCCCAGCTGGGTATTTGGTTTTGTTTTGTAGTACATACCAAGAGTTGTGACTTCAGCCCAGCAGAAAGCCGGGAAGACGATTACAGCTCGGATCACGGGTCGGTGTGATTTTCCTTCCAAAACTAAAATCAACAGTAGTTTGGCCATCATGGGAGTTTCTCCCCCCATGAGCTCGGTGGTCGTGGAGAAGCATCATCCAGTCACAGTGGTGAGTCCTGTCAGGAAGTCTTTTGTCATGAGTTTTTCTGCTAATCAACCCTGACATTCATGGTTGGTCATTGGTACCATTTACTCTTAGTCTAAAATTTACATCTCAATAAAAATGATCAAATAGAAATGTCAATCCAATATGTTGACTGTTAAAACAGTAAACTGTAAAGATTCCATACAAAAAGCAAAAAAAAACAAAAAAGAAAAACAGTTTACTGATAAACTGACTATTCATGCAGCAGGGGTTGATTATAAGAAAATGCCCTTGCCTTGGAGTGCTCACTCTTGTCCTTGTATTTTCCAGTCTCTCTCAATAGCATATCTAACATATCTCTATATTAAAGGATAGTGAGTTGCAAGAAATATAGATGGTATAAGGGAAGATGCATAGACCAGCAGGAAGCAGGTGAAAACCATCCTAGTTGTTACCACCACTTGCTGCATCTGGACAGAGACACATCAAGTCAAATAGTTCAGCCTCCATTTTCTCTTCTGTGAAATGGGGTTGGCGGAAGTACTGAGCTTCTGGAACATCGTCAGGATTCAGGATTAAATGAGATAATACAAAAAGTAAGGTGACATCTACAGAAGCACTTTGTAAACTACGGAACCATTAGGAAGCCTGCCTTACTAAAAGTTTACTAGGAAAGGAACATGAGGTTTTTCTGTTCCTTTCTCTTTCTTTTCTAATAATTGAGTGTTTGTTTACATGCTGTCTGTGCACCACATGTATGCCTGGTCCAGAAGAGGGTATCAGATCCCCTAGATCTAGAGTTACAAATAGATTGGTTGTGAGCTGCCATGTGGGTGCTAGGAATGGAACATCAGTCCTCTGCAAGAGTAGAAAGTGCTCTTAACGTTCTGGCTGTCTCTTCAGCCCTAGTATTGTAGAGAGTAGAAGAACTGAGGAACTAGAATCCTTTTATTTAAAAGTTTTAGTGAATTAAAATAAAATCACATCATTTCTCCAATTCTTCCTACCTACCCCCCATATCTAACTCTCCTCCTCCTTCCTCCCAAATTCAACTTGTTTTTATTAGTTTCTTGTAGTGGAGTAGAATTTTATCTACTTTCATCAATTCCTTTTCTTCCAGTATTATATCATCCTTTCCTGTTTTCCTTAATTTCCCTGAGTTCAGGTTAAGCATCCATCAAATAGTTTATTCAAACCTACACTTCAGGGAGCTAGAATCTTAGAACCACTTTCTTTACCGTTCCCTCCTGGGCTGCCTGCTGCTATTTAGCATGTATGCAGTACTTGTCTGGTAGTGAGTGGCTATGAGAAATCCAGAAACCCCTTCCATACTTGCTTAGTTTTTGTCATGTGACAGTTGTTGTCCTCTATAGTGTTTGAATTGTTTCCTGAGAATCAAGAGCTAAACTAGCAGAAACCATTATTGCCAATAAAGCATGGATCTGTTTGTAGCGCCTTTGCTCCTCTGCTGGGGATTTACTTGCTTCCTGGGCTCATTTCGTGTTCTGCCGTATTTTATAGATCATAATACCCGTGGGAACTCTAATTTCTTTCTACAGTTCCTCTTACTCATCTCAAGGGGAAACAGCTTTGATAAATCATGTCATATTTGGTGCTTGTCAATGAAAATTTCATACAAACTGCAAGAATCTCCCATTTGTAATGGTTATCTAGATATTTATAGTTGGAGAAACATCTGTATAAGATACCTTAAAAAGCCGGGCACTAGTGTTTCACGCCTTTAATCCCAGCACTCTGGAGGCAGAGGCAGGGGGGTCTCTATGAGTTCGAGGCCAGCCTGGTCTACAGACTGAGTTCCAGGACAGGCTCCAAAGCAATACAGAGAAACCCTGTCTCGAAAAACCAAAAAACAAAAAAAAAAAAAAGAAGAAGAAGAAGATACCTTAAGAAGGTTATTTTTCCATTTCTCCATAGATGAGTTCTCACTTTTAAGACAGAATTGGACATGGGGAAACTGTTTATTATGTAGTCTTTGAAATACATGGTAAATATATTGGCTAAATGTATTTTTTATAAATTTCATGTTTATGAATGTTTTGCCTACATATGTGTGTGCACCAAGTGTATGCTTAGTGTCCACAGAGACCATTCTTATGAACCACTATGTGAGTGCTGGGAACCAAACCCACGTCCTCTACCTGCTGAGCCATCCTGCCCCTAATGCATAAAATTTTTTTCTAAATGGAAGATCCTGTAATAGCAATCTGTGTGACATGACTAAGAACTTAATTTGATACAAATCCCCTGCCAGCTACTAAGACATGTAGCAGGTACAATAAAGTCTGCCCTGCCCTGACTTTAATTTTTTAGCTCCCATGTCTCAATGTTCTCCTAAGCCTTGAACTGATGTGCAGATCACCTGCTCTTCAGTGTCTTTATTTGTTCTCCACATCCAGTTCTTCCCTTGTCTAGGAAATGGTGGTTCAAATGGGTATGGTGACATGTTCCTTATTCCCAACATTCTGGAGGCTGGGCAGGTGTATCACAAGTTTGAGTCCAGCCTAGGCTACATAGTAAGACCGCCTGGAAGGACAGAGACATGAAGGGAGCCCCGTGTCTTCTGGGAAGCCTTCTCTTCTGTGACTATAAAATGTTGGGTCTGCTCCCTGGTGAAATCTGAGGTCTATTTCACCATGACTTGAAGCAAGGCCAGAGTTGGATAGAAGAGGGGGTGAATGGTTTAGAGCTGACCCTCATCCTGACAGACACCGTGGTTTAGAGCTGTCCTCCTCCAGACACCATCAAGTCCTTTTCTGTGCTTGGCCTCAGTAGGTCTTTTCCTCTCAGACCTCTTAGAGCAATGATTCTCAAGGCTCTGGTATTAAATGCAGCTGTTGAACCGATGGGCTTCTTTTAGAGAGGGCTTCACTGTGTTTGTTTGAATGGCAACTCCACCCAGTGCATTGCTGGTGTCTACGGGATGCCAGATGCCTGTTGGTTTGGGTTATGAGTGATGAAATGATGCTTCACATCTGATTACTAAAGCAGCCTCTTATCTTTACAGCAAACCATTCCTCAGGCAGCTGCTGCCAAGTACCCACGGACCATCCATCCCGAAGGCAGCATCCCACCTTCTAGATCTCTCGGAGCCAGGCCAACCCATACCCAGTCTCTCTCAAGCTTTCAGTCCATAAAAGTGGTTGACTAGAGTGACCATGTTCATACTTAGGTCTTCTCAGTTCTCTCAGAGGACCTGACTGGGAGCAGGAAGGGTTTTTTGTTTATTTGTTTTTTGTGTTTTGTTTTTTTGACTTTTCTGTACTTCGAGAACACCATGAACACATCATGTTCATCTTTTCAGAATTTCAAAAGACTTTCCCATCCTTTGTAACTGTATGTAGAGATTATTTTAATGTTGTTATTTTTATTTAAACAATTAAGTAGAACTTTTTAATTAAAAAAAAAAGTGGTTCTAAGCATGTCCAACCTGCCACTGATTGCATCATTGAAAGGTATAAATCTCTTTCTGTACATTATTTCTAGGAAATCATTTCCACTGTTACTGAGCCATAATTTACACAAAGTTGAAAGAGAACTTTACGGTTATTACTGAAACAAATAGAAAGACCAAGAGTAACAGTGGTATTTCTAAACACAACTTTTTCTGCCTCAGTGTATTGGCCTTCATCTCTAGGACTTGGCAGTGAAACCCTGAGGGAAGTAGGCAACATCTGTGAATATTTGTAAGGCTAAAAAGGAAGAGCGCTTTTAATCCCTGCTGGGATGACCCTATTTCCATTGCTGGTTCTCACCTTCCTGGGGCCTGCAGCATTGAGCCTAGTAGTTCTCCACGTGTGCTACAGGGTTGCCCTGCAAGACAACAGATCTTTTAGCCTGGGTATAAGATTTCAGTGGCTGGCCATTGTGCATAAGCCATCTGGCCCAGGCATGGTGGTACATGCAGTTAATCCCACCACTGGGGAGGCAGAGGTAGATGGATCTTTCTGAGTTCAAGGCCAGCCTGATCTACATAGTAAGTTCCAGGACAGCCAGGGCTGTGTAGAAAAGAAAAGAAAAGAAAAGAAAAGAAAAGAAAGAAAGGAAGGAAGAAAGAGAAAGAAAAAGGAAGAAAGGAAAGAAAAACTCTTATTCATGTCTCTGTTCTCTTGGGCCAAACATTTAATTAAGTAGATTTCAGGATCCTCATCTGGGATATAAATAAAATGTACTTCCCTTCCCTGTTTGACACTGTACTTATGGAATATATGAGCAGGTGCTAGAGTCTATCTGGGCCTCCACTTCCAAACGAGGGTGGGTTTGAGCATCTGAAGCCTCTACCAGTTTGAGCATGATCTACTTCTGTGCTCTCTCATTTTATAAAAAGTCACTTTTTGCCAGGCATTGGTGGCACACACCTTTAATCCCAGCACTCGGGAGGCAGAGGCAGAGGCAGAGGCAGGCAGATCTCTGAGTTTGAGGCCAGCCTGGTCTATAGAACGAGTGCCAGGATAGGCTCCAAAGCTACACAGAGAAACTCTGTCTTGAAGAAAAAAAAAAAAAAGTCACTTTTCTTGCTGCCTCACAATTCAGAGACTAAATGTGATATAGGCAAACATGATTCCATTTTATAGCAAGTACTTAAGGCTTTGAATTATAGGCATATCAGGCAGTGGTCTAGCTACTAATGTAGCAAAAGCTCACTCCCTGGGCTTATAACTTTGTGAACAACAAGCCGCAGCACCTCCTTTCACCTTCCCTGTAGGCATGCTCCCCAGAACTGCCCTGTCTGCCCAGAAAGCCAGGAGGAATAGTAGACTGCCCTAAGAGACCACTCGTGTGCAGCTCAAGAAATGAATCAACCACCGAACACTTGCTGCTCCTGCAGAGTAACCTAGTTCAGTTCCCAGCGCCCACTTGGCAGCTTCAAAACATCCATAACTCCAGTGCCAGAAAATTCAACACCCTCCTCTGGCCTGCACAGGCACCAGGAATGCATGTGTACATAGGTACATGCATTCAAAATACACAGTGACAAATTGATCAATTCCTCCTCCTCCCTCCCCACTGTGAACTGCCCTGAGATGCATTCATCCATCCCTTCTTGGAACAGATCCTTAGGATCTGATAGCCAAGCTTGACACCATGTGGAGCCAATCTAGTAGCATCCTCACCCTGCTCCTCCTTGGCATCATGTCCATTTTCTACAGAAACCTTGGTCTTAGGCTGGACCTTTGAGGAGCCCAGACTGTAGCTTGGTGTTTAGTGTGCAAGTCAAGTCATATGGACATACTAATGCAACATGATGTAACTAGAACTATTATAGGCATCGTTTTAACTCTAAAAGTGCTGCATGTTGTCCAAATTACCAAATAATTCATGTTGGCCTAAGTTAAATGACACAAGTTTGATGGTGAAATACTCTATAGTAAGTATGCATTGGTACTTATTTTACATACAGAGGTTAAGTTGGGGGAGGAATACTAGGAAGGTCATTGGTATGACAAACTGAAGAACGGACTAAGATGGGACTTTTTATTTAATACTTATTTAAAATTCTGGAACCTTGTGAATATATTGCCTGTTTTAAACATTCCTAGCATTTACAATCAATGTAAGAAAAATACTTGAAACTGTAAATTAATAGTAGAATAATTGCCCGTGATTATCTTACCAGCTTTTCCAGGCTGAGTCGGTATTGGACTTTAGGTAGGTATACAGTGATAGAAACTGATACCTTTTGTAGCTTTCTCAGGTTACAGAAGGCAGCGCTTGTTCATTGTGAACAAAATAGAATGTACCAGAAAGTACAAAGAATTAAAATTACCCATATTTAAATTACAAAAGGTTTAAAAATCACTGGTGTATGTCTGGGTCTTTTTTTTTTTTTTTTCTGTATAATAGAGTACACTTATATGGTATAAAGCCAACAGTGACTGAATTTCCAAATGCAGTTTCTCTACAAAGATAAGAGTTTATGACTTGCATCCCACTGGCTTGAGGTCAGGTGTTTCCCCTTCATCTTCACCCCAATATCTGGAGGAAACATTCTGTCTATCACAAAAGGAAGCCAAAGATCTGAGAATGGCTATAATATTAACATGTCCACTGCTCACAGCTAAGAATCAAATCTCCTAGCCCTTGCTTTTCTGTGTGCTACCATGCTGCTCTCACCATCTGTTTGGATTTTAAACTTATACAGAACCCTTCCAGCTGTGCTGTTCCTTGTATACATCAAATGACAGAAATGAGAATGTCACACAATTTGCCTCGAGAGAAAGGTAAAACCAATGTGTGGCTGGAGCAGCAGGAAGGTGGTATGTTCACTTCCATCCCTGGAGGAGCAGCATCTTTGTACCAGAAAATCATCCTGCTGGGAGATGGTTGTGGCCATTGGGAACCAAAGTTAAACTGAATGAGGAGTGGGAAACCATTCACATTGCTTCTTCAGCTTAGGAGACTGCACATTTCTTGGAGCTTGGGTCAGTTTTACCTTTGAACTGACGAATCTTTTCTGGAAAAAAAAACAGGACAACATTATCTTAGTTGCCGGAGTGAAACATAACTAAAAGCAATTTGGGGAGGAAAAGGCTTATTTGGTTTATATATCCTGAATCAGAGTCCATTGAGAGACACTGAGGCAAGAACTCCAAACCCAGCAGGGACCTGGAGGCAGGAGCTAATGGCCATGGAGGAGTGCTGCTTACTGACTTGCTTCTCATGGCTTGCTCAGGCTGCTTTCCTATAGAACCCAGGACCACCAGCCTGGGTTCACTAATTTTAAAAATGCCCTACAGGTTTCCTATAAGCAGATCTTCTGGAGGCATTTTCTCAGTTGAGATTCTCTCCTCTCAGATGACTCCAGCTTGTGTCAGATTGACATAAAAATTAACCAGCACACTCATTCAAGATGAACAGCTGATGTTCTTAATGTGGTTTACTGTGTTCCAGGCACCATTCATTTCATCCACACCAACCTTTAGAAATGGGTGTTATTTCCTTCCCTAGTTTAGAAATGGGCACACTGGTGCAGTGAGGTTATAGAACCTGCTGAGGATCACAGCTGCAGCCAAAGCAAGCCCTCACAACACAGTTCTAACCACTTCATCACACTGCCTTCATCTTCCCTCAGAGTTTGCATAGTATACTTCCATTGGGAAGAACATGTTTAAAGTTGAAGATTTAGTGTTAGGAGGCTAATCTCATATCCTGCAGTGTAGGTATCTGCAGTATTCGTCATTCCTATTCCTGCTTGAAACAATGATGGTCTAGCTGCCAGAATGACACAGGCATGTGCTCAGCTCTGGGTGGAACTGCCTTCACAAAAATAGCAGAAGCCTCTCAACTTTTTTCTACAGTAGCTGTTACATGAGAGTTATAAAGCTACTAACTTCTTTCACAGGTCCTAACTTCAATTCCCAGCAACCACATGGTGGCTCACAACCATCTGTAATGAGATCTGGTGCTCTTTTCTGGCCTGCGAGCAACCATGCAGGCAGAACACTGTATACATAATAAATAATCTTGAAAGAAAGAAAGAAAGAAAGAAAGAAAGAAAGAAAGAAAGAAAGAAAGAAAGAAAGAAAGAAAGAAAACTACTAATTTACTGATGTTTTCAAAGAATGTTCCCTGACAACACAGAGGACAGTTTGGGGGTGGCAATTTTCAGTAGCTTCAGAGGACAAAGCAACAGCCTGTGTACTACCCTTCTTTCTGCCTAGAGAGAACATTTTCACAACCACTAAATTGATGGAGTTTGCCAATAGGAGCAAGATAGTTCTTGCTCAGTTGTGGGGAAGATTCTGGGTTGTAGAAGGTGGTTGGACATTCGTGCCCCATCCTACCTGTCCACAGGCACATAGAAACACCCCTCACACCTGGTTCAGATGCTGTGGTGAGTACCGACTGGTTGACCTAACCAAGGCAGAAGCCTCAGAGTGCACTCAAGCACCTTCCACAGTTCCATGTTCTGTGTGCACATCCAATCACTGTGTCCACCTCCATCAGACCACTGCTGAATTCAGGGAGTAATTCCTTCCACCCTGCCATTGAAGGGAGTAGGAATTTGTGTGGGGTTGTGGCAAACTAACTCACCAGCTGATTCTAGGAATCCTGCGCGCAGCAGCTCCTCATACAGCAGCTTGACAGGGTCAGGTTGTGTCATGAGAGCCCCGTGCAGCCAGATAAGCAGAGCCCTGTAGCCATGCTCACGGAAGCTCTTGTTACCTGTGTTCAGATGAGAGGCCCAGAGTGAAGCATTGTACACGGATCCCTCTTTCTGACACGTTTTTAAACGGCTGCAATTGTCCATCCATTCATTCCTCCTCTCAGATCTCTCAGATCAAAAGCTCAATGACGGGAGGAAGCTCTTGCCGTTCCTAACTGGTGTTGTGCTATGGTGACCACCCTTTGGAGACGAGACAGCCTGGCCTGTTCCTTCTGTTCTGGGACACACCTAAGCATACACAGGGTAGGGGTGGGGAATTATAAGGGACTGAATGGCTTTGATGCTTGCCTGGAGGTGACAGACAATGCCCACAAGATATGAGATCTTCTAGCAGGTCAGGCTCAAAGTACATGTTTTCCCTGGACATCTTCTGCAAATGCAGATTTTTTTTTTTTTTGAGTGACAGTACACAGTATGACAAGTTCCCTCCTGCTCTGTAAATCACTGGGCAGCAAGCCATACAGCCACTCCAATTCAGCAGGTCTGTAACTCGGGTCAGGATTATTCATCCTGAAAATACCTGAGACCTAACCCCTCAGCGTATTGGAATAAGACAACCACCTGCTGTCACTTTGGACAGGGAAAAGTTGCAAATACACCATAGGCACCATGGGGCAGATGCTACAAAAGGAGCCTGGGATCTTGGCAGGAACAATGTGCTCCTCAACAAACTCATTTTTCCTCAATACCAACAACATGTATTATTGTTGTATTGTCAAAGAATTGAAGAACAACATGTATTATTGGTTGTTCGTCAATACCAACAATATGCACCAACATTCTTCACTTAAAATCCCACAACTTCCGGGTGCCATTTGCCACAAGAACTAGAATACGATTGGATGGCAAATGCCATGCTAGTGAGATTGTCTGTATGTGTATCTTACAAATGTCCTCCCAGAACCCATTCACCAACCTTGTAGAAGGATTCTTCCTGGGAAGAAAGCTTCAACAGTGAGATTTTCTATGGCAGAGTAAGGCCTTCCATCTAGGACAACCTGCAGATCTTGGTGGAAAGCCAGACTGGCGTTCCACAGGCATGCCAGGGATTGTATCCTTGCTTCTTTAGTTCCTAATTCAATTGTGAAGCCTTCATTTCTTTTTTTTTTTTTTTTTTTTTTTTTTAAGGCCAGAGTAGTAAAGCTTTGTAAGCACAGCTGACTGCAGATTCTCCAGAGTTTAGCTTGCTGCTGGATTCCCAACCACCTTTGCAGACTTAGCCAACTTCCCTTATTACCAAGATACCTGGGCTCAGCCTGTTGTGTGCACTGGGTACTTACTTTGAAATTAAGAAACAGCTGCTGTCACTATCTCTGAATGTCTTCCTGTCTGTATCCTCTGGTCCCCACTCACCTGACCACTGTTCCTCGATGGCTCTGATCTGGTCCTCCGTAAAGCTCCACAAACGGGCCAGCCTCTGCCAGTCCTTCTCCTTGAACTGTTGGTAGGCCAGGTTCCAGAGGAGTGTGCGGATGTGCCTGGTCTCCAGACTGTGGTCCTGTTTGAATGTCAGTGGAGAGCTTCCTGCTGAGTCCTGGATGCTCTCACAGTGCTCCTAAATGGAAACTCACTGTAGCCTGTTATTTACAGCACATGCTCACTTGCTACCTTATGTCATGAGTGATTAGTAAAGCAGTAGCCAAGACGTTTTCATCTGTCCTAGATCATTTTTTGTCATCCAAATTGGACAGAAATGTCTGGAATAAGAAGCATGAATACTGTGTCTGGAGCAGCAATTGTGAAGGATTCTGCAGTGTTGTTTCTGTGTTGTTGACTGGTCTCTGCTCACTTCCAAACAACAGAGGAGACTGTTGGCAAGTGGATCATCAAAACCAGCAGCTCTAACGGCCTTACTCTCAACACTGAACCTTCTTTATTCTTTGGTGTATTTAATTTTCTCATTAACACCTCAGTGGAGTTCAGATTGGATACATCCTTAATAAAACCTCATAGTTGTTCTTTCTGCTCTCCCCTGAGTATGAGGAGAGACCAGAAGCCTAACTCAGGGTAGGGTAGGGGTAGGGTAGGGGAAGGTGGGGTGGGATGGGGTCAAGTAGTGTAGGGCAGGGAAGAGTAGGATAGGGTAAGGTAGAGTAGAGTAAGGCAGGGGGTAGGGGGACAAGGTAGTGGACAGAACAAAGTGGCTGTCATTTCATTTTAAGTCACTATAGTCATGCTGAGCCCAACAGTACTGCACCTAGACTGGTCTCTTGGTTTTTTTTGTTTTGTTTTGTTTTGTTTTTTCCTTTCTAAGCTGCTTTCTGCCTCCTTGGTGGGATCATCCAGGGTCTTTCCTAATCAACCTCTCTCAAAAGCATTAGTGGAAAGAGTCTCAGAGGAGAAAGCACGAGGCATGGGGCGGGGGGGGGGGGGGG